ATTGTGATGTTTTCCTTCCAGACTTCATGAGAGGTGTTGTAGACTCTGAGGATCTACCTCTGAACATTTCTCGTGAAATGCTGCAACAAAGCAAGATCCTTAAAGTGATACGGAAGAACTTGGTGAAGAAGTGTTTGGAACTTTTCACTGAGTTGGCTGAAGACAAGGAGAACTACAAAAAGTTCTATGAGCAGTTCTCCAAGAATATCAAGGTTTGTAGTATTCCTTTATCTTGGTTGTAAACGGTACAGATTACTGTTAGTACCACATTCTGAGCACCCCACAGCTTAGTATTTATTTAAGGTAGCCTTTCAGTCGTTCTTTCTCTTACTTCTGTAGCTTGGTATTCATGAAGACTCCCAGAACCGCAAGAAGCTCTCAGAGTTACTCAGGTATTACACTTCTGCATCTGGTGATGAAATGGTTTCTCTGAAGGACTACTGCACTCGCATGAAGGAAAACCAGAAACACGTCTACTACATTACTGGTGAGTTGGCAAGAAATGCCCTGTGAAAAGCAGTTAGGTAAGGTAGTTGGGATAAGATGCTCATTTCTCTTCTACAGTTTTTAAATGAATTCCATAATTGATGTAAAAAAAAAAAAAAAGTCATTGTGAAAAGCTGCAATGGTTTGCTCGTGATTACTTGTCAGTTATGTAGTTGGTTGTGATGGAGAAATTCTGGCATGTATCAGGAGAAGATGAAGTTTGCTGTATTTCTGTCATACTGGCTGATTCCTATAGTATTTCTAAAACAAGTAAATACTGCCATGTAGAACGGGATTGTAGTCAGTAGCTTATGGTGTGTTAATGAGCACAGCTGGGCTGGTTAGAAGTAATGTTTACTAACAGTGCAAACTGCACTTCCAGACTTTGCAAGGTGTCCTAGGATGCTTCCTCCTGTCTAACTTGGGCTAGTTGGAGAATTAACTGCTCCTGGGGAAGTGCAATGCAGTGTTGGTCTGCATTGTTATAGTTACTCTTAAAGCATTGCCTTAGTTTTGAAATACGTTCATTGTCATCGCTTCCTGGAAGGTAAGGAAGGAACACATTTAAAGCTGGCTTTTTAACAAAGCTAAGGGTGTAAAGTGCATTTGCACAGCTAGTTGATTTTTTCCCCTGTGAGCCCGGAAGGGTTGGAATGCCAAACATCTTTTCAAATTAAAACATTGCTGGGAAGGCTTAAGTCTCACCAGGCTAGCAGGATTGCTACCGTGGTTTGTCATAATCTGTAATCCCTGGTAAGAGCTACTGAGCATCATTGGGTTGCATAGGCTCTTTCAGAATACAGTTGGGTATGTGACAGTGCTGAGGCTCAAACAGAATGTGACATTCATGCTTCCTGCAGGTGAGACAAAAGACCAGGTGGCGAACTCTGCTTTTGTGGAGCGCCTTCGCAAACATGGGCTGGAGGTGATCTACATGATTGAGCCTATTGATGAATACTGTGTGCAGCAGCTGAAGGAATTCGAAGGCAAGACCCTGGTTTCTGTAACAAAAGAGGGCTTAGAGCTTCCAGAAGATGAAGAGGAGAAAAAGAAACAGGAAGAGAAAAAAGCCAAGTTTGAAAACCTTTGCAAAATAATGAAAGATATCCTTGAGAAGAAAGTAGAAAAGGTAATGGTGGTGTTTTGTAACTTGCACTTTGACCAGGCGGTGGGGTTCTGGTGCATTAGAGATGTTGAAATGTTAAGCTAAGAACTTAAATTTTATGTATGCTTTCCTAGGTTGTTGTGTCCAATCGCTTGGTAACTTCTCCATGCTGTATTGTAACAAGTACATATGGCTGGACTGCCAATATGGAGAGGATTATGAAAGCACAGGCATTGAGAGACAACTCCACAATGGGATACATGGCAGCAAAGAAGCACCTGGAGATTAATCCTGATCATTCCATCATCGAAACACTGAGGCAGAAGGCAGAGGCTGATAAAAATGACAAGTCTGTGAAGGATCTTGTCATATTGCTGTACGAGACAGCTCTCCTGTCCTCTGGCTTTAGTTTAGAAGATCCCCAGACACATGCCAACCGCATTTACAGGATGATCAAACTCGGCCTGGGTAAGTTGGAAATCTTTTGTTTCCAGTAAGTTCTGGGTGTGTTGATATTTCCATGTCTTCTGAGCACATGGAGCAGTGGGGGGTGGTGTGAAAACCTTCAGGCCATAGAAAGTTCTGTGGAGGCAAATAAGGGCTTTGAGTTCCGGGATAAGCATTCATGGTCCTCGTGTTTGTTGCGCAGGCATTGATGAAGATGATACTGCTGCAGAGGAGGCCAGTCCTGCAGTTACCGAGGAGATGCCACCTCTTGAAGGAGATGATGACACATCACGTATGGAGGAGGTGGATTAAAACAGTTTACAGGAACTCACGAATGTTTCCTTGGCTAATATGAATAAGTTATATTTTGTATATTATGAATGTTACCTGCCAAAAAAAGAAAACAAAAAAAAACCACAAAAATCTTTGACACTTTTGTCTGCATTCCCTCTTTATATTTATTTTCAAAGATGTTATACCTTTATTTTTGTTACATTGCTTTTTCAGCTGATGTGAGATACAAATGCCATTGAGGGAGTATTTTCTTTAACTCTGTACAACCCTAGACAGGCAAGTAAGGAGTAGTTATTTTTGTCTGTATTAGCTGGTTTGCAGGTGGCAGGGTTTTTGACTTATTCTTAATTGCCAGAAAAGTAACAAAGACGGTATGACATCTGGGTGGTCAAGTTTGTTTAGTGTTCTACAGCTCTTCAACTCTGAATATGTCTAACATAGAGTACCTAGTAACTAGGTATCTATGAGAGCTGACACTTGGGGAAGCTTTAACCCTTTTGCTCCTAACAAGGTCTTGATGTTTAAAGTTGTTTTTTATACTGTTCAAGGATTCTGGATTGCACTCTACCATAGAATAGAATCCACTGTAAATCTCTATTGTGACTTATGCAAATCTGCATGTACAGTTCAAACCTAGAACTGTAAGAATAAAAGTGTTAAGAATGAGTTGTTACTGACTTGTCTGTTAATACTGGGAACAAAAGCTGCTGGTCAGAATGGGTGTTTTGGATTTCGAGTATCAGCTACCCAGAGTTCATTTTGCATGTTTTGTACTGCCACTACAAACTGGTGTCACATGTTGGAACAGTGAAAGTAGAGGCTAAGACTATTTTAATCTCTTCCAAGCAGTGCTTAAAATTAGGTTGAATAGATGTCATTACAAGTACTTGTAAGGCAGAAACAGGCTCCTAAAACTGCAAGCCTTGTTCATTGTGTTGTACTGGCAGTGAATTTCACATGCAGCATTAGGCTGTCCAATAAATTGTACAGGTTTGGTACTCTCCTCCTGCCTATTTACCTTTTAGTAGTCTTATCATCCCTTGTCAAGTTCAGCTCTGTCTGTGCCTTGAGTTTCCTAATAGACACTTGCAGACAATGTCCCTATATTTTTCCCAGGTAACACAACTCTGCTTCCACTTCCTGTACCCTTCTGCCTTATTCTTCAGTTTAAGCTGCCAGTCCTTGTTCAGCCAGGCTGATAGCTCACCTCCTGTGCTTGATTACTTCTGTTGAGTGGGAGAGCTCTTGCAGTTACGGAAGGGTGTTAAAAAGCTGCCAGCTCTGTTCTCTGCCTACAAGGGCAGTTTGCCAGGGGATCTCATCCAGCAATTCCTTGAGCATCTGAAACTTTGCTCTTGGGAAGTTCAGTGTCCTTACGTTGCTTTTTGCCAGTCAGCATTCCTCCAGATTACAAACTTCACCAGGGTGTCGTCACTGCAGCCCAGGCTGCCTCCAATCTTAACCTCTCTGATGCTTTCCTCTGCTTTGGTGAGCACCAGGTCCAGTGAGGTTTCACCTCGGATTGGTCCATCTGATACCTGGACCAGGAAGTTTCCCTCTACAAACTCCAGGAATCTGGATTGTCTGCCACCCACTGTGCTGCTATCCCAGCAGATAACTTGGGTGGTTGAAATCCTCCATCAGGACAAGAGCCTGTGAGCTGTGACACTTGCAGTTGAAGCAAGGCCTTGTCGAGGGACTGCTCTTGATGAGGTGTTCTGTAGCAGACCTGAACTGCTCAATGCTCTTCACTGCACCAGTGCCCTTGGTGAGGAGTTCCTCACTTCTGCTGCTGCTGATGTGTGCTGTGAAGGTGAAGTGTCATTTGTTCCTTATGTTTATGATAGAAACAAACCTTCAAAAGAAAAGAAGTTCTCCACTTAACTGTGGTTGGTTGGTTGTTCGTCCAAAGTTTGTAAAGCTATTTTATTAACAGCTAGATAAATCAGTAATGGTTGGATATCTGCAGCTTGTCATAGGTGAGACATTTGGCTTCCATGCCTGTATTACTTCCTCACTGCTTAATGTCCAAAATGCTTGAAGTCCCAACTATCTCAGAAGTCTGCAGGTAGTTACTGTGCTAGTGAAAGGGAGGCAAGGCAAAGATGAGAAATGCTAAAGCATAAAACAGGCCATGCGTTTCTGCTCTCCTCTGCCTAGCCTGGAAATGAGACAAGACTCAGTCAGTGTGACTTTTTCTATTTAAGATTGAACCTTAAACAGCTTAAGACGAGAGCTTCCATGGAAAGAGAATGTAGCAGAATGCATAGGAATGGATGTGTTGCTATAGTAGTGACTATGACATCAAAACAGGCCCTGTCTTGGCTCCTAAGATCACACACTTAAACGTGTCCATCAGTACTGAGTTGCATTTTCTACCATGGGTAATACAAACTGATCAAAAGGTGAAGGTGCTTCTCCTTACTGATCAGATGTTCAGAACTGTGTTAAACATAGATTTCAGTCCAAGATCTCACTGACATGCAATCTTAATGTTGTACCAAGGGCTTAAAAGTGCTTGAATTTTAAGGTATCTATGTCTTAAGACTAGAATCTATTCTACAAGATCTTCATTTAAAAAAAAAATCCTTTTGTTAGTAAATAAAAATGTAAAATTCATAACGGAGGAAGGCTTTTCCCATCAAATCTTTAAGCTTTTACCTCCCTTGGAGTTTACAGATTGATGTATTCTAAGCAGAAGTGCACACCAAAATTCAGCAAGGGCAATCCCAGGCTGGATGTGGCTCTGGGCAGCCTGGTCTGGTGGTTGGCGACCCTGCAGGGCAGGGGGGTTGAAACGAGGTGATCATTGTGGTCCTTTTCAACTCAGGCCGTTCTGTGATTCTATGAAAAGGTCAGATGCCAAAATAAAAGTACTTCTGCTTATTGGAGCTTCAGTACAGTGCAGCCAACCCACTGAGTAAGTGATTACAAGGGAATTCTTTTTCACAGCTTGGCCGTACTCTCCTTGTTTAGGGATTATGTTGCTGACATTCAAGTTCTGCTGACATTCAGAACGCTCTCCTGTTGATGCTAGACTTTTTGTTATCAAGCTTAAGGCATTAGGACGCTGCATTCAGAAGTATGTGACTCCTCTGCTCTCAAAGTAAACTGGTCTGTGTGTTCTGGACTTTTGAACCTTGGCTGATGTTCCTGTTCCCCTTGTGAAGGGCTCACCTCATTGTATGCAGTAAAGCCCAGAGTTTGGTGGCGGAAGAAAAGTAACTCATTGTCTTAGGAACTGACAAAAACATGAACTCCGTTGAGTTCCAAGCATCAACTGGATTTATGAAATAAAGTGCATTTCAAACATACTAATTGATAGACTACAAATATGAACACTGTTTATATGGTTTTCATGAGTAGTGATTTATCCTGCAGATGAAGAGTATTTTACTTACCAGTTTACAGCTGATCTGAGATCTTCATTCACCTTAATTTGTGCTTGGAGATTATACAAATTCTACAACAGAAGCTTTGGCAAATTCATCATTTTGGGCTAACTTCTACCTGTGAGTAAATCAAACTTCACTTTTTTCAGATTTCCCTATTCCGGATTTCTTTAGGGTGAGGGCACCCTAAAGGGGGTGACATGAACATCAAATATGATCAAATGTTCCTGATAGTTCATTATGAAATAATGTTTAATAGTTCTTCATTTAAAACAAACTAAACCTTACACTGAAAAGCAATTTTAGGCCAAGATGTATCTTTATGGTGTTCAACTGTATAAACGTTGTATTTCTTAAAAAAGTTAAGGTCGAGAAAATGCCTGGCAAATAAACCTCCACTGCAGTATGGCTGGTCCAAGGAGGAAGAGGTGTATCAGAGCAGCGTTCAGTGCCTTTAGCAGCAGCATGAAGATGAGACGGAGGCATACGTTCTTTCATACCAAGGTGCAGTTCTGATGGGATGGTGAGGAAGAGGGTGGGCAGTAAATGCCGTATGTGTTTTTTGCCCCACTGCACAGAACTCTGATTTGAACTGTTCTGCCATTAAAACAGAGGCAACCTTTTATTTATTCTGTGCTTTAAAATATGAGAGTACAACGTCCAAGTGGATTTCACTTTTTTCTTACCTCTTTCTGGTTGATTTTCAATTATACTGCCCAGACGGTGAGAACACACCTTACTGAAGGTCATTTTGTTTCAGTTCTTAGATGCTTACTGCAGTTACCCAGAAGACAGCTCACACTACTCAAACTCCAGTATGAATGTCACTAGTGGTAAGCGTCGCAGAGGAGTTAAACTTGTAGCGGAGCAGGGCCTGCCACAGGCAGCAGCTTTGAGAGATGCCATCCCTTCAGAAGATCAACAACAGTTTTTTCCTTCTCCTGGAAAGGCAGTCCTGCCAGCTAGAGAGTCCCACAGCGATATCTATATGGCACCAGAAGATGGTTTCAGAACACCAATGGAAACAATTGCTGAGGAGAAATCTGCTTTATCAGCATTCTTGATGGAACTGTGTGAACCATCTCAGAAATCTGGAGCTAGTACAGAGGCAGTTTGGCCCCAGAGGCCTGACTACTCCTCACCCATGGATATCGAGCCATCTGAATCTTCAGCATTTCTGGAGAACAGTATTACAGCTGCTTTGCTACCAGAGTGGGACAGCAGTGTGTGTGAACAAACAACAAATGTTTCCAGTTCTACCATGTACCACTGAACAAGAAAAAAAAGGAAAAAAAACCCTTCATGTCACCTAAACGAGGCTCTGCTGTATTAATAATGTCTATAGTACTTTGTCTGGTCTTTAATGCACTGTCAGAGGTATTTATCCTAGCTTCCTTTGGGCAGTGTTTGAGGTTGTATAGTAGAATTCAAGTTTCAAAATCACAACATCCCGTTTTTAATTTTTCTCCTACAAGTTGGACAAATCTGTACACAGCACCTTTGTTCCGCAGAGCTCGCAGCTGACACGAGCTGTTCCTGGCACCCGCTATGGTAAGAGATGGCCACATCACTCATTTACTCCCTATGTTTTCCAAGAACCAGTCCAACTAAAGATACCATGCTCCATTCCTTAAGCAAAGAAGTTATAAGGGACCACCAGCTTCAAGTACAGCAGGGCCAGTCCTCCTAAACATCTGCCGTAGAGCACAGCCAGTGCCTTCTGTTCTGCTTGTGAGGAGAGTGCAAGTTATTCTTCTTGATGGCACAACCAAGCAGCATTTCAGTAATTCCAGGCCCAGAATGTTATGGAACAACTCTGGGAAACAAAGCCAAATGTTACAGTTATTGCACAAGGCAAATCCCTGATGGAGGGTCATGCTAGTTCAATGAAGACATTCTTTGCAGATACTGATTTAGGCACTCAGCACTGTCAGCATGTACTGTAACAGTAGTTACCAGGTGCGTCCTTGCAATCTGAAATTAGATCCAGAGCAGCAGATGGTACAGACTGCAGCATTCATGGAATGGCATCATGAGAACTGAGTTTTCTCCTTGCTCAGTTTTCAGTGGCCTCCTGTTGCTTCATATCTTCATGCCACTTTTGCCTATGCAGGACAGGTGGATTTTGAGATCCACAGAACTTTGATATGTCAAGATAGGAGCAGGGTGCATCTGTCCCGTGCTGTTGCCTGAATGCTGATGTCATCTTGATGTCCCATCACCTGCAGGATCCCACAGACCCCTGCCAACATGGGTGATCTCTAATTTTAAGATGAAAGCCCTTCATATTTAGGCTGTTGGTAACAGCAATGACCATGAGTCTAGCCTGAATACAAACATTTCACCAGGAGCTTTTCTATCTCTGCAGAGCATATGTATTAAGCTTGATGTAATGCTAATAGTCTGTTGAAGGACTATGTATATTCCTGAGGTAAACAGATTCTGGAAAGTTTGCTAAAACTGCTCATCTAGTCAGAAAAAAACACAAACAGCTACACTGCAAGAGCTCCTTTGTCCTCTCTCAGTTTACAAAGCCCCATTCAGATATTATGCTGTCCACCATTCAGTCTAATCAGTGCTATGACCATAATGTCGAACAGAAAAAGTGAAACTGCAAAAAAAGTGGCAAATTGATCCTTTTTTTGTTCTTCCAATAATTTCAACATATCCCTTGATATTCAGGCCTGAAATCAGTTGGGAGAAGCAATTGAAACAAGCAGTATGAATTACCAGCACAGCCAGGCACGTATTCAAGCAAAAAGAACTCCAGTTTTTTGGTTTTTTTTTTAAGCATATTTGTTATATGCAAAAGGATTTTAATAAGAGGAATCTACATATCCACCCTCCCATCGCCTTTTTTGCCTTCTCAGCATCCTAAGTACAAGAAGCTGAGGAAGTGACAAGCAGAACTGAGGCAGCCAAAATACCATCCTCTCTCTTCTGACCTCAGAGAGCAAAGGGGATGCAGGCACTCTTGGAGCACTACATCTTCAGCACAGCATCTGCTACTGAAGAAATGTATGGGTTACTAGAAAGCCATATTCCAAGTCAGGCAAAATACTTCCACTCTGGTACTTGTGAACAGACTGGGAAGTGAAACAGCAATAGCCTGGCCAGCCTTTAAAAATTCCTTCTCTGAATGGAGAGGAATAGCGTGGCTTTCTGGCTTTATGTCTTTGCTGCATCTACTGTGAGGATGGATCAGTGCTGTCAAGCAGTGCTAATTCATTCCCTTTGTGAAATCATTTCTGCAAGATAACGAATTCACAGAAAGAAAAGTCATGAGCACAACCTGTGTTCTCAAGCTCCTGGTTCAGGTCTCCAGCTTGTGCTGCCTCGAAGGACCAAAGAAAACCAAGAATCTTGAAATCTTGTTGTTTGTATACCACAAAGTACCAGCACTGGATGTGGTCCATAGGGACTATTTTGTGGAGTAGATTGCTCCCAACTGCAAGTGAAATAGAGGCACTCTCACTACAGCGCACTCCCATAGTGTGTTTCTAAAATGTTTGATGCCTGGAAGACATGAATCTTAATGTCACGATTTCACCTTAGCAGTTCTCCTGAGTCCTACCTGGTAGGGAGTGACTGCTAACAGCTGTTGCCCATAGAGCATCAGCAGCTATTTGGGGCAGGCCTGTGTAGAAGGAGGGACTCTGAGCCATGTGTGTGGATGAAAGGTGATGGCTATTTGCACTCATTGAAGTCAGCTGGTACTACAAGCACTGACAGGACTCCACTCAGAGCCTGCTTCAGTGGTGGGAGAGCTGTAGGAGTCTTTGCAGGCCTCTTCCTGATAGAAGGGCCTAGCTGTTGGATGGCCTAGGCAGATGAGGTAAGGAGCTGGAAAAGCAGCAACTGCTGGGGGAGAAAAGAGGTGTGTGCAGTTCAGCTGGTGGCTAGGTGCAGAGTGGGAGGCTGCTGTGGGCTGCTCTGTGTCTCCAGGGTCTGACTCACAGAGCCTTTTTAGACTGACAACTGGTGGTGGGCATTTGCTTCGTTAAGGCCTTTGCACGCTCGGGCTGCTTCCTGAGGGCTGTGTGGCTGACATGGGGCTGCAGAAAATAAATGACTGCAAGCAGAGGGGGAAATGGAGTGTAGCACTTCTGGCTGTATGTGCTTGTGTGTAATTGTGCTCTCAGTATTAGGAATGTGAGTAAGGTACGTGAGCTGCTGTGCTATTTTCTATAGGCTTCTGCTGTAGGCCTATGTGCAGTCCAGTGAGCTTGGTTTGAGGAGGGGTCTGGAGCCTTCAGCTGTGGTACAGAGCACTTTTACAGGAGGCCTCACTCTCCTCTTTATGTCCCTTTTTAAGCTGTCTTCAGCTGGAGCTGAACAGAGAGGCAGGTGTGAGCTGGTGCCTGGCAGCCCAGGCACGTTGAGCTGCAGCAGGATGGCCTCGCTGGAGAGAAGGCAGCGCCCGAGGAGGCAGCGGAGGGTGGGGCGGTATGCAGAGGGCCTGGGCGGAGGTGAGTGGGACCCCGTAGGGAGAGCTGGGTACAGGACTGACTCTGAGGTGTGTTTGCTGGTCTCATGTCTTGAGTACAAACACCTCTTTAATGGTTCTGAAAACTTGTGCCTTTTTAAAAGCATCTGAAATCCCCTTGTGGAGTGTAAGCTTCTTCAAAAGCTGCCGAGGGAGGTGGGGGGTCACCATTGCTGGAGGTGTTCCAGAACCATGGAGGTGGGTGGTAAGTGGGCATGGTAGGATGGATTGGGGTTGGAATAGATAGTCTTAGTAGCCTTTTTCAACCTTAATGATTCTATGATGTGTTTTCCTTCCCTTCCCCGTTCTGTTAGATGCTCTGGAAATTATGGATTCTGTTAAAAGCTTGGACTGTGTAGAAAGACTGGCACATAAATACATGGTAACTTTCTTCTAATTGCTCTTTCTTCCTGTTAAATTACAAAATAGACTGTGCTGGATGCTTTGGTACAGGGAGCTGTGCTGAAGAACAGCTGATGAGAAACATCTGTGAATAAATTGATTCAAATGGTGAATAATCTAATTCACCTGCAAAAGAACCAAAAAAAACCCCCTAGGGAGAGCAAACTTTGGGGAGGGGAGAGAAAGTCTGCTTTCCATGGTGTCTTGCCCTGCACAACCCAATCAGTACCACAAAAGTGATATATTTGAGAAGCTGAGCAGCTTCCTGTGATGAAAACTCTGACAAAACACAGGACTTTGGGCTCGTACAGGGCCTTCAGCCTCAACCCAAAGCTGTCTGAATTTCAGCTACAAGTGGTACTTCTTTCCCTTCTTCCTCTGCAGCGGAAGTGTGTGGTGGAGTCCAGCACGGAGTCAGAGTCTGAATCCAGCGTGGAGGTGAGGCCCAGATTCTGAGGTGTTTCCATGCTTAGAAGCTCTTCTCACTCTTTTGCTTTTGACAAGAAGTGCCAAAGGAGTGGTTGCTGGAATTAAAGCTGTACAGAAATTTCAGGGAGAGAACAAGCAGCAGTTTCAGGTTACACCAAAATGGCCTCATCAGTTCTCTGTGAGGGTGTGCTTGCAGCAGATGTGGGCTGTGTCTAGTGCTGGTGCTGGGCAAGGTTGCTGCAGGAGTTCTGCTGAATGCTCATTTCAGATGAGATGGAGAGAACAGAGCTGTGGCAGTCGGTTGTGAACATTGATAGGTTCCTGAACTGGCTGGCAAACCAGTGTGGTTAATATCAGTAGGAAAGAAACCAAATGCATTCTGGAGTGGAGAGCTGGCTTGATTTTTAGTTTCGCACCCTTCATACATTTCTGTCTATAACGTGTAGCTGAGCTCTGGTGAATTTGTTCTGTTAGCCTCCTATATGTCAGGAGCTACAAAGCACAGCAGAATATAAGTGAACTTGCTGCTGTGAGCTCTGATCTTATTGTTCACGGTGACTTCATATAGATAAGTGTATATACATACAGTGAGCATACAGAAATGCTGTGTGTAACTGACTCTTGTCAGATCTTACAGGTGCAGTGCTGAGGGTGAGCACTGCAGATCTTAAGAGCACCTTGGAAGCACTGAGCTGGCCAGGGCCGTAATGGCAGCTCCTGTGCTGTCGTGTAGCTCAGACTTTTGCTCTGTTGGGGATTTCAGTGTAGTGGTAGTATGCCTCTAATGTCGGAGAACAAGAAGTGACCTAATTTGGAAGGAAGCTCTCTAGCCTCCAATTGACAGCTTTTCTACTGTTAATTTGTAATTTATTTTTTTTGGTGGTGAGATATACAGTATCATTCTCTTCATAGTCATGTCTGAAGTGCTAAGACTCAGCAGGGCTCTCCTCCCTCTACTTCAGGCTTTTTTTTTTTTTTCTTTTTTTAAACAGGCCTGTAGAAGTTAGACTGACACACATTTTTATTGTCTTTTGAGATGATGGGACAATCTGGCTTCTTTAGGTTTTTATCTGCTTTAATATTACTTCAAGTCATCAGTACTCATAGGAAGATGCCTTATAAACTTATGTCAACTTCACTTAAACAGGTCTTGCATAACCCAGTTGCTGAAGGACTCAGGAAGGCAAGAGACTCCAAGGGACTGCAAGTAAGTTCAGCTGTTACACAGCAGCTTTGTTCTCAGTGTTCACTCAAAAATTAAAATGGAGTGGGAATGTGTGGATCAACAGAACTTCCACACTATGCTGAAGTGTTTCTTAACCCTGCTGTACACCTCTGTATTTTTCTTCAGACAAATAAGTGTCCTCCGTGTTTAGAGAGATCTTTGTTTTCAGTTCTTAGATCCTTATGATGGTGATTCAGAAGACACAGCCACTCACTCTGATTGTAGCTTGAGTTCTCTGAACAGTATAGAAGTTGCACCGTGGATGAGCAGTGCTCCAAAAGCAATGGCTTTCGAGGATGCTGATCCTTCAGGGAACGGAGAGTCCTTCCCTCAACCTCTGGACTGCTCTCAAACTAAAATCAGTGATGTTCACAGCCAGAGAGTAAATGATGGCAAATCTCCCCTTGAACTACCTAGCCAGCAGAAGGATTTCCCAAGAAGCCTGCTGCAATCCTCTAAGCTGAGGAGAGACACAGAAGTGCTTCCCTCCATGTGGCTAATGCCTGACCCTTCCTTACTAGTGGGTGTTAATCCTTCAGCCCCTGCTCATCTCCTTGCAAGTGCAGGTGATAATTCTCCACAACCCCTGCTAGCAGATGACTGTGATGGCACCAATTCCAGACAACCACTTATTAAAAGAAAAGGGATCACCATTTCTGAGAGCGCTGGTGAGAAACGAAGAAAGAAAATCCGGGCCATTTGATTTAAGGTATGAATTAAGTAGTTGGATGAAGTCTTTCATTCTAGAAGTCAACCTGCTAGGTTTCTTTTGCAAAAGCAGCTGAACAAGACTTCAGATTGATGCTTGTGTGCTACTTCAGTGTATGGGCACCAGATTCCTATGTGCTGTGTTTGGAAACATCTGTTCAGCTTTGGAAGTATTACAAGGGTATGTTGAGGAGGGAAGGAAGAACGACTGAATTGCAATTGATTTTACATAGCTATTGCTCTTTGTGTTTTTCATCTGCTGTCTCTATTTTCCACACAAATGGATTGTGTTCCTATAAGTGTAACTGTCTGAAATATTTTGGTACCAACTGTGACAGCATTCATTCTGTATGACTGGCACAGAATAACATACAGATTTTCCTAAAACTACTAATAAAAGTGGAAAACCCCTTGCAAGCTACAAGCTTAGTAGTATTTTACCATTCCACTAACCTTTGCATGATAACTTTTCACATGCATCTCTGATCGCTTCTTGGCCCAAACAAAAATGAAATGGGAGCCTTCAGCCACCATAGAAGCAGCTTAAGAGGAATGCCTCTTTTTTTCTGCTAGCCTCCCCCACAGGAATGTTTTCATTAAAACAGTACAGCTTCTGAATGCATCCCAGCAGCGTTGTAACAACAGCTTACTTAACCAAGCTTAAAAGTAATTCACTTGTTATCAGACTTCATAGGAGATGACATCAGGCCCTGTGTCTTAGTGCATTAGAGACTTGTCTGTCAGTGGTCTTGTTTCTATGCTTTAGTCACAGAATTAGCTGAGAGAGCCCTGTGAAGATCAGCACTAAGCCTGAATACCAGGTTATTAATTGTTATTCCCTGGAAAGACTGTAGATACAGTTCTTCAGATCAAAGTCACCATAATAATTCCAGGCAGTCAGAAATCTTGCTATGGGTTTTATTTCCTGTAATACTACCAGCAAATCTGCTTCTCAGTAACCATCTAAAAATCTCATCTGGTATTCCTTCAAACAAACCTAGCCCAGCAGCTTTCAAACTACCGCTCCCCCCTTCTTCCAATTCAACTTCACACAAAACCACCTGACAACCTATCCACATCAGCTACATCTAGATGAGGAATACACAAAAGAGTGACACTTATTACAGTATTGCCAATTTGTAAGCTTTTCACTCAGTGCAGAGAACAGCAACACCGCGCTCGTAGAAACTACGTGGATCTTCCTTGGTAGCAATTTCAAAATCGACCGTGAAAATCAGATCAGCACGAGTGAAGTTCAGGTAAACGGGTAAGGTCACCTGGGAGAAAAGTGAACACAGAAGAGTTATGCAAGGTAGCTGGAGATGGGAAAGTTCCTGTGCTGCTTAGTGGTATTTATACGATGCAAATTCAGTCAATACTTACAACATTTGCTTTTTTATCAGCGTTTGTCTGCTTGATCCAACGAAGCTGTGTAATAGGTAATACAGTTGAAATTGCATTTGAAAGTGACAGCTTGTTGTTGCTGCATGTAGCTCCTTGAAGCTTCAGGCCTGTAAATTGAATTGTTCTAAGAGTTCTAAGAGTTCTAAGAGCTTTCTTACATCTAAGGAAAGTAAGTCTCCCTCTGCACTATTTAAGGGCTGTGATGTTACTCCATCAAGGTCTGCAAGAATATATTTTAAACTAGGTTCTCCGTTTTGTCCATTAAGAGAGCAGTAAGTATTTCATGCCCCAAATAGAGGAGTCACAACAGATACTCTATGGAATACTGCTTAAGTATATACTGACCTGAGTTTTGATGTTTATTATCATGATAAAAGATATTATTAATAGGAAAGTATTTAACAACTTCAGAAAGTGTCCAGTAATTCCTGTAGTGATACGACTTTCTCATAGGATACCCATTCAAAACTAGCACTTTGTGGAAGTATTGCAGAACAGAGACCCCTCTTTCCAGATGAGTTTTACCTGTGACTCCAAAACTGCACGCATCCAGCACAGCATTCTGTGTGGTTGTAACATTGACCTCAAGGCAGAGCTCCTCCAGGGACCAGCTGTTTGCCTGTGCAACATACTGCCTTGTAGCAGTGATGTATGCCTCAGGTACAAACAGGCCACCGAGGCACACATGGATGTTCTAATGGAGGAGGGAAGAGGAAAAAGAATAGCAATTGTTATAGCTATTGCTTCATCAATCTAAATGTATGTTAAAATCTTCCTGCTGCTGTAACACTGTGTAACTGTGTTTTTTTTCCTTTAAGTCTACGTTATCTGTCACTGTAAAAATTCTATTTTCCCCTCTGATCTACATGTTAGCCTGCTGCCCTCATTATTTTGGTATCAGCAGATACTTAACAGCATTTACAAGCACAATTAGGAAAAACTGATTGAAGCTATTTTTCCTGAGGAACCTCTAAGGAGTCTTGATATGAAGACTCCATAAAGCAGTTATGCACCTAAATCCAGACGCAATCTCTAGCTGATACAAGCATAAAGTACCTTTAGTTCTTTTGCTCCGCCAGAGGCAGCTGCCTGGGAAATATTCTGCAGCTGTTTGATGCGTTCACTGAAGTCAGACACCCACTGAATCACAGTCATTCCAGCTGGCACTGTGTAATGAGACCAGCTGCGAGGCAAGATACCTATGGAAAATGTGATTAAAACTAAGATTTGTGCACTATTTTTCCACTATCAATTTTTCTTCCTTTTCCAATAACCACTCACGGCTTGCATCAGCACACAAATGTCTATTACAATGCTTCTCTGTTTGTTTTCAGGTTGTGTTTTCTTTTTTTTCTTCCTGAAAGCAATCGAGCTGTTCAAATGAAATGTTCTGTTTCTTCTGTAAAAGCATTTATTTAAGAGAGCCTCTAGGTCTAGTACTTAAAATGCCATCCAATTACAGAAATCATTCAAAAGGAACTTCAGTTACAAGCATCTATATACTCTAATAACTGATCTTTATGTTTTCTTGAAGATTTGAATTCCATAAAAAGAATTGGTCGATTTACTGTGCTTTACCCACTGTTTTTGTTCAAAACAGGTGTCAGAGTGCTACTTCAATAACAGATCTTCAGTTATTATTAGAAATACAAGTTTACCTACAAGCTTGAAAGAGAAGCTTAGAAAAATGAAGAAATTGCTAGATGTGATTAACAGCGATGTTACTTTGTGCTATAAAACTTTGTTCCATTGCCATTTAGAGACTGAAACAATCTAATAGCACTAGAAATTAAGCTGCTAATGTAAACTATCTGAAAAAGCCTAAAGTTACTGACCCCAACTTGAAATCTCTTATTAAACTAATTGCATTTCTATGCTCAACTCAAAAGGGATTGCCTGTCCCAAAGGGTAAAGCCAATCCTGATTTCCCTGCAGTTTCTTTTTTAAGCTGCTGAGCTTAACAGCCTCTAACTTACAGAGTACAAGAGGCAAACAGAGCACAGAGATAACAGTTTTAATTCCCATACCTTTCACCAGTTCATTTATGAGTGTACGTAGGTAGTTGGTTTGTTTCTTTTTCCCTTCACACACTTGAACCACATCTGCAAGGTCCTGACGCACATCCTGAAGCAGCTTAGCTCCCATTTTCACCTCTCTCTCAAAGAACCGGAACAAAGGATCCTGATCATCAGAACATTTGAAGTAAGTTGCAGATCAACATTTTATGTTCTTGCTGGAAAACTAGCAGAAGACTTCTTGTTGAGCAACAAATGCAGACTGTGTGCTGCAGCTCCTTCAAATCATTCCTGGATTGCTTTTGATTAGCAACAAAAGGTTCTCACCTGCTGTCCCACAGTTAAGCTTTCTGAAGCAATTAGGCAGTCGTGGACATCTTAATCTGAGGAGCTTACTCCAGAGTTAAAGCTTAGGTTAACTACTGTCCAGACCCCAAGAGTTTCCCTCTGAGATGTGTGCTATCGCTCAGCAGAAGCTGCTGCCTTATATTCCTTTACTATCACCGAACTTCAATGTTAATTTGCGTGCACTAGCTGGAAAGGCAGTATGATAAGTAGCAGCCAGTATACTACTTTATCACAAAGAAGCTTCAGAAGCAGTTCCTGTGACTTAAAGAATTCCCTAAAAGCACGGAGCCAACTTCTAAGAGCATGTCAAGAAACTCAATGGGTCGTGATATAGCTGAGGCAGTTGGAATCAGCACCAACACAACTTCTGCTGTCCCACAGAACAGCTTAATTGGTGGTGCTCAAAATGACAACGCACTTTCTCCAATACATCAGAACTTGTGCAGCTCCTATGTTCACATCAGACAAAACTTTATTCTTACCTTAATGTTTTCCACAGTTCGCTTCAGATGATTTAGAGTTTGTGGGATAAGGTGAAGCCAGTTAGAAGCTGTGGTATGCAGTGTTCTCATCCAGGCTGGGCGACCATCTGATGTAGAATCAGTTCTTGTCTTCTTCTCAGTTTCCGCATAAGCCAGATCATCTTCGTCTTCCAGCATCTGCATTTTCAGCATTTTACTGATCATATCTATGCCTAAAACACAGAAAAGATACACTGTTAGTCAGAAAAGAATTGGCATTGAGACGAAAACATCCTACTACATGCAAGAATCGGTGCTTATCTCTCCCCCAGCTCTAGACCTAAGATTCAGAACTGTCTAGCTGCATGGGGTTCTTGGGCTGAGTATGAAGTTTTCTAGAACTATGGGAATTCGACATCTGGAAGGCTACATGTAGTCAGCTTTTGAATTCACAGAAGTCTCTTGGCAGTTTCTGGAATGCTAAAGCCCTGACCCTGCAGAATTTAAATCAACTGTTGAGAGAGGAGGGAAAGCTAATGTTTTGTTCTTCATCAGGACTTCAGTGTCTCATCTCTTTTCAGTTAAACTGCTGGTCTTCTAATCTTCATCAGTAATTGCTAAAGTTCTGTTTTTACCTTGTGTGGTGAGAAGAACTTTTTCTGCATTATTTGGCAGGCCTAGCCACGATGGTGTTTGAGTATCTGGCAGCATCTCAACCCACTGGACAAACTCTTCACGTCTGCAAGTAATAATTTTGGTTAGAAGGCCTTCCCTTATTAGAATGGCAAGGTAATTATTTTTCCAAGACAAATAATTTCTGTGCTGAACACCAGCACAGAAATACAGATGAGGGTTAAGTTTTAGTTTAAGAAATGCATGCAGAAATCTGCATAGGAAAAATGATACCTGATCCCATCTGGCATCTGAATATCTTTGTGTCCATCAACTTTGCAAGCCAGTTTGAATTCACTGTCAAAACTCAGAGTAGTAAACAGACGTTCCAAGAAAGTGTTTAACAAACGCTGATCAAATTCATTATCGATGCGGCCTCCGTAGATGGATTGTGCCATCAGGGTCTTTAAGGCAGACCAGGGGATTTTATCAGGTGAAATGTTCTGGCGGCCCTGTAAGAAAAACACACTGCAATCAGCAGGAAACCATCCTCCTCACCTCTCCTCTGCTAGAGGAATCATACTCAGCAGCTAAGTTGAACTGCCAGCAGATTATTTAAGCCTTACTCGTCTAAGTAGCTGAAGGTTTCCAGAAGAGACTATAAGACTGAAGAAGTTAAGTAATCTAAATAATACCTATGCCTAGGTATAAGACTACTTGCCTTTGCTGTGTCATCCAGCCACGTAT